CTGCGTAACGATAAATTAGTTTTTGAAAAATATCGCATCTTTTTTTATTACTTTAAATCGATTGACATCGAATGTTATACAATATAAAAAAGATCGACATTTGATTTTATCACCTCGTGATATAACGAATGTCCATTATGCTCACGCAAGATAACGTTTATTTTATAAAAATGAATAATCTTTCAAAAAATGAAAAAGGTCTTTTAACCAGGTTATCAAACAATAATGAAATAACCATCGTTACTAAAACAAGGCCTATTATAAAGGTCAATTTTATGAAAAGAATGAAAATGACTGGGAAATATCCGATATAAGTAATTTTAGTTCGGAATTTGTTTTTGGAATGTATATTTTGCTTCATTTTCAGCTTTTTTTACTCTTGAAAATACATTAATATAAATTTGTATTTAGACGATACATTAAGTCAAATAACTCGAATGGTAAATAATAATGAAGAAAGTGAAGAAAATGTAAAAAAAGATAAACCCAGTGGTCCAAAAGCGGATCAAGATAAAATTTACAATAAATTTCGTACGTTTCTAATTGATAATATGAAGGGTGAAAGAGATGAAAAAGAAACATTTGTTAGTTTTTCTGGACTTCAACAAGAAATAGAGGAAAGTGAAATTCAAATTAAGCTTGTAAATATTTTAAATATTTTAAATAATGAAAGCAGTGGACTTTCTTATTATAGAAACTTAATTAATTTCCACATTTCGAGTTTAAATAATGAAAAAATGGTTAAAGAAAAATTACGTAATATTATTAATAAAAAAGAAAAAAGAGCAAAAATTAAAAAGATTGCAAAAAGGTTTTATACGATAGCTAAAAGTTGTGCAAAGGATAGGTAGGTGGATGGTGTGTAATATCGGACCATCTTATTTTCTAGAATTAAAAAAAGAAAAATGGGAGGAACTTTTACAAAATAATAATATTGTAGAAAGTGATAGTGAAGAAAATTAATTTCTTTTAATAAATTTCTTTTTTTATGTATGTTATAAATAAAATTATGATGAAAAATTTTATGTTTATTATAAAAGACCTTTATGATATGATAATAAATACAAAAATGATTTGGTAAATTCGTATTTTTAATTATCTTGTAAAAACGAATTAAAAATAAAAAAAAATATAAGTAACCTCGCAACTATTTCCCAACGAATTAGAATTTTTAATAATAAATTTTATTCAAATCCAATATATTCTTATTCATATTAGAAAAATTAGATACTTGCTCAAACGAAATAAAAAAAAATGAATAAAAATTAATTTTCAACCTCTTCATCCTCCTCTTTCATTTCGATATCCTCGTAATTTTCATCATTTAAAACTTCCTCCTCTTCAGTATTTAAAACTCATTAAATTTTTTAAAGATACCTGGATTTTTTTTGCGACTATAACTAAAAATACATTTGGGTTTTGAAATAGAGTATTGCATCATACTATGAATTGAAATATTTTTTTTTTTTTATAAAAGAGAGTATATCTATATAAATCACCGGAAGCGAACATAAAACAAGGTATATCGTTTACAACTCCAGGATTTTTAATAACCCGAATTTTATTTCCATATTATAATGATAATAATATTCGGATGGTGGAATAATAATTTCATCGTTTTTAAAAAAAATTACTCGAATATTACTAGCTTGCCAATTTTCCATAATAATAATAATACCATCCTTTTCATTTTTAAATATACGACGACCTTCAACAGGTGATTTTTTAATTGAAAAAACACCGGCTTTAGACATCTAATAAATAATAAATAAATAAAAATAAAAAAAATGATATTTAACACATACTTTACGAAACTTTCTATAATGCTTGATTTTCCCCATTAAAAAAATAACTTATTTATAACAATTTATTTATATTGGTTAAATAAAACACATAAATTTATGTAATATAATACCCCAATATTTGTTAGAAAATTGGAAAATTAATTGTTACTAAATTAATGTATTTGATTTGTTAAAAAATAATTATAATTAACCTATGTAAGTAACCTTGCGGGAAATATCCGCGAGGTTACTTACATTACATAAAGCGTTAAGAAAATTTAAGGCGTTAACAGAGTGACTGTGCAGGAAATATCCGCAAGGTTACTTACATAAAGCGTGAACATGAAAGTAACAGTTATTTATTTTTAATAAATGAAATAATTTTATTAATTGTTGATTCCAAAGTTCATATTTCTTTTATAAGTTATTCATAAAATTTATTATTACAATTATTTATCAAGGGTTATTTATTATAGATAAGCGATTAGACTTTCTTATAACTCGTAATTTCAATATTTGTTTACAGTCATTTGGGACCATTTAACATCCCTAATCATTATCTAAAATCTCTACTTCATCATTTGATTTCACTTGTTTAAGACGTTCATAATAAAAATCCAATCATCTTCAGTTCCACCACGTTTGTTAGAGATATCATAGCATTTAAAAGATCGTTGAATTAAGCTAACGTTAATTGTGTTCCATGATCTATTACTGCAATTGCTTAAAGGTTTCAAGTCAAATTGATCAGGTCAATTAACCTGTAGCTTTATCTGGTTCATTCAATTCATTTCTTGAAGAAATAGGAATCATTCTAAGCGAGTTTTTGACTTGAATAAGAAAGCGTGGGATACTATGGATTATGTGTTTGAAACTAACTGTAAGACGTGAAATTCATGAACTAAGGGATCCAAAATTTAATACAATAATGTTAGTAATTTAGATTGCGAAGTAGTGGGAAGGAACTCTCATTTTATGGGTTAGAGCTCGAGTGATTCCTTGAAACATCCGCTACTCCATTTATTAGCTTAGCTGACTGAACTTTTTACATTGATAATTTATTTACAAAATAAAAATGTGCATGCATGTTTTATTACAATTGATTAAACATACTGTATTCGCAAATATGTTATTACAATGCAATATAATAATACATGCAGAAATACTGATTTCACATACACTATTATTTTTATTTATGACAACAATACTGATCATCTGAATATAACGAAATATCATGCTATTCTGTTTCATCCATCAAATCCTCTTTATTCATCGAATTTTCTTGATTTTCTTTATAGCTGAAATAAAAATTTTCACATTAGAATGCATTTGTTGCAAACTTATTATGTAAAGTTACGCACTGAATTTTTTCCATCAGCTTCTTAATGACTGGTCCAAAAACAGATTCCATGTTACGATCATCCACAATAATCACGAGGTCACCATATTTATTGAACCGAAACAACTTTGATCTTTTTCCAGCCCTATGTGGAAGTTCCACTAAAACATAAATATGTTTTCGGTTCTCTGTAGAACTTTTGATTCTCTCATGATTTTTTATACGCTCAGAGACCTTGGATATTCGGTAATTCTTCGTGTTTTTGGTGTAGTCCAAATCATAATCCAAATCATCATAGTTAAGATCTTGATCATAATCTACCTCCTCTTCTTCTGAGTTGACCTCTTCATTGGATGGTAAAAAATCGCCAAAACCTATTTGAAGGTGCTCTGGTTCTTTCCAAGAAAATTCCTCCTTTTGATCCTCGATTTGGGAATTTTTCTTCTTTGGATTTTCCATATACTGAAACTTCATACATGACTTGAATACCTGCTCTTTGATCTTACCTCGATTAATAGGTTCCCCAGAAATTGTACAGCTTGCTGATAATAGTACCACATTTTGCTCATCATCTGCAAAAGAGATCACCACGTCTAATCCTGAGAATCTGTCCGGTTGGATTGCATAAGAACGATAATGAGTTGTATTTTCAACATATTCGACTATAGGAACTCCTCCTGATAGATTTGAAATTGTCATAACCATCATTGTGGGAGTTATCCATGAAGGAAGGTTAAATTCTTGACTATTTTTCCATTCGTTAAGCACTTCCCGTACTCTACGCCCACGTTTCTCAATCATTACCGAAATAAAGACCGCATCAAATTCATTGCCAATAGATGAAGTATTATTGAGTCGGATAATGTATTCAACGAAGACATCTACCAAAGTTTTCCCTCTTTTTTTAAGGAAAATTTCGATGCCAGAGACAAGATAAGATTCAAGTGATGGGTTGATTTGGATCTCATTAAAACGATCAACATCACGGCTAAGAATTATGCATTCCGGTGATTGGCAAGGAATGATGCTGTGTTTAAGTAGTTCTATAGCATGCTTGAACTTATAATTGTAAAAAACACGAAGCCTAATAACATCTATAATTGCTGTTTCCAGATTGAAGTAATTTGCACCCAGAGATTTACACGCATTTTCCAAATATACTCCCATATCATTGCTTATTTTTTCATACCATAAAGGAAGAAGTTCTCGCATCTCTTGATCTTTTGTTCTATTCTTTGATTCCCGCTTCGATATCAACATCTGAACAAATGATGCACAGTTTCGAGGTCGTCCCCTGAGAATAAATCCCAAGTAGTTACGAGTTTCAGGTGTAACATCTCTCATGTCAATTATAATATCAAGATTCCGCAGGACATCATTTTGTGTAAGGAAGGGAAGCTTTAGCACAATATGAGCCTGTGAACCAGACTGGACTTTTCCAATACTAGTGACAAGAGAAATTCCGCTTGCCATATGCATGTAAGTGCCGGCAATAATGCACTTAACAGGAAGATGGGTAAGATGTGCAATGTAAGCCTGCAAGAGATTCCATGTTTTCCCCAATGAACTCCCATCGTAATTTCCATATTTGTCATCACAAAGGACTTGCGCCTCATCAAATATTAATATTAGAGATTTCACACCAAGACATTCGTTGATGTAATAAATAAGTGAAGAAATAGAAATATTATCTACATTAACCAAGCTCATTTGGATTTTTTTGATATCCATTTGAAGCTGTGTAAAAAGCCATTCCTTTTGTGTTGAAATTTTTTCCTAAGCAAGCATCTTGATAAGTAAAAGTCCGCGTGAAATTATTACTAAGTCCAGCATGTAAAATACTTTGCTCTGTTCTTCAGTTTGGCCGTACTTTGGTGTTCTAGCTCTGATTCTTTCAAGCTCCTGGCCCATAAAATCGCCATATTGTCCCCCATAAGGAGAAAAATCAACGTATATTGTCCAATGTTGTAAAGAGATTCCAAATGCTGTCGATGTTTTTCCACCTCCTGAAACCCCAGCGAGAACAATTATGTCTTTATTATGTTTCGTCAATTTTTCATGCACAAGAGAAACCGTTTCTTTGAATTGGGGATCATCGTAGAAGGGATTAAGATAATTCATTCCAGATTTCGATTCGTATGAAGGGAGACACAGATCTATCGTTGTAAGAGAATGTTCAGTTATGGTACCAGGCAAACTTATTTTGAAAAAAGAGGGCTCCATCTTCAGTTTAAGACATGGGTCATTTTGTGGATCTGGAGAGTCACTTTCTCCTGCCTCAACGTACCAAATCAAGGCGAGCGCGTCAACAAGCTGATCAATTGAAAAAGCATTTATGTGTGAAAAGGTCTTTATAACTAAAAAAACAAGAGTGTGCGTGAGCAAAAATCATTTAAAAGAGCCAAACTACTGGTGCAACAAACCTTTGTCTTTAATTTCAATTTTAACTTCATTAGGAATGATGTGCATTGACGAAACTAATGCAGTGAAATAAAAATATTAGAAATCCCATATCTTTGGCAAATATAGACTTATACCTTCTACAAAGCTGTTTTTGTTTGAGAGGTAAACCATTACCAGTGGAGGCGAATAATGGCGGTTGTACGATAATGTGTATATTCTTGGAGCTACTTGTAAAGATGTCACCGAAACCACTAAATGGAGACAACTCTTCACCTCCGATTTCTTTTATAATAATATTTTCGTTATTTATATCATGAGGTCTGTTTTCAAGTGTTTTCAGTTTAACGTTTGCTGTATCACCAGGAATATCCACCTTCCATAGATCCAAGCTATTAGCATCAATACTTTTAAAATTGTTCTTAATCTTTTCATAGATTATTTCTCTGAGTTTCGATATGGTCATTTTGTCGTCGCCTGTAACTTCAAAGGACCTCTTAATTTCGGTACCTATCATAAAACAAAATACCATGATGCCTCTGCAATGTGAAAATGAGTTAAAAAACAAGGTTCAAATTAATCTTTCTGTAAAAAATAGAATAAATACCCTTTTAGATGCAAATTTAGCTTTGTAGGTAAGGAATTTTCATTAAAATTAGTTTGTACTGGGGATAAAATACCGTTTGACCGAGACATTTTATAGCTTGGCTGTGCTACTATTCGGAAAAATTATTGTGGGTCTGTACTACATAAGCGATGAAAATATATTCGCTCGTTTTACCTTCTGGTTAACAAACTAAAACTTTTTTTTCTCGTTCTCACAAAGAGTTTTACTAAGGGTGAATTTATTTCGTGTCTCGTATAAGTATACCAACTTTTTCCTATCTAGAATATCGATTGTTGGAACAAGTAAAACCGGATCACGGTATAATGTTAATATAGATAGTTTAGACAAATGAAAAACTGGTTTGGCTCGCAAGCATTAGTATAGGAACATCATTTTGCAAACCTACAGTGCATAGGCAAGAATTAATAACGATAATTTTTCGTGATTTTAACATATATATGACGTGATGTGTCATGTGTCATGTGTCATGTGTCAGAGAAATTTTTATTCGGTTTCGTGTAAATTCCGGACGTATAAAATTTTTCGTGTTTATTTAAACAATATGGGCAAAATGTCTTAGAGTGCTTTATTCAAGCAAAATTTGCATTTTCTATATAATTTTTAAATTTTCTATTATAAATGTACCTTGCAGATGCTATAGTTAAGCATGTCTTTCAAATGCAAATTTGGCACCTGATCGACTAATGCCGTTTTGTTTACAGCTTTTTTTTGTGTTACAAAACACAATCCTTAATCTCAATATGTTATTTTGTGTTACAATTTAATTTAATTTAAAGTTATTTAAAGTAATTATGTTACAAAAATTGAACAATTAAAAATAATAATGTACTTTTTTTTTTTTTATATATATATTGTATCTGATAAATAATAATAAAAAATAATAAATAACTTGCAATATAAATTTTCGTTATCCTGCATGTAAACTTTCCTTTGTTGTATTTGCCTCATTTGATAATTTGATAAATAAAATAAATTTGTTTTTTGAATGCCTATAATGCAAAATAAAAAAAAGCTTAATCAATCTGCTAACTCAATTAAAAAATGTAAAAGATGAGAAGTATAAATTCTTGATGAATGTAAAATCCGTCATACTAATGATCATGAAAATAAGAGAATAAAAAAATCCTTAGAAACTACTGAATAATGTGAAGCCTGTTTGGCTAAAAATCATAAACAAAAGAGACAGCGTAAAATTTTAGAAAATATTAATGAATGTCTAAATCATCAGAAAGGATTGCTTCCTAATAATTTTTAACAGCTTTTTGAATTAGATCATAAGCTTTTGCATAAATTTCATGTAGAGATGAACAAACTCAAACAATCACTCTACAATGAATAATTCCCTTCGTCATTATGAAAATGTATTGTCACTATTATAGTGATAAAAATCAATTAAAGAAATTTTCACTAGAAAATAATATAGATCCAGGTGATATACCTGATGAGCTAAAGAAACTTACTGAGATAGAGAAAATGTTAATCACATAGATTTTTTCTATCATCTCAATATATTATTTTTGTGAAGGCCAATACGCGTATTATAAAAATATTATAAGCTTTCTCTAAGATATAGGTCATTTTGTAATCTGTCTTTCTCACCATCCCTTATCATTAGATATGCTTATTATCACTAGGCTGCAAATGGATCAACATCATTTAAAGACTTTAACATTTGTCATGCTAAAATTAAACAAACACTTTTTTGGTTAAAAATAATAACCGATATTATGCAAATATTATTATTGATAATAACATCCTATATTCTTTACCTGATAATAGTCCTGTTTATACATGAAATCGAAATGGATCATTTCAGATATCTGAAATAGTCAAAATGGTCGAAATCATTTTGACCATTGGAGGCTAAAGTCACGAAATAATCGAAATGACATCATATCATATGATTTTTTATATTTAGAAAAAACAAAAATAAAAGATATAAGATCTCGGTTAATATCGCTCTGATTCATATGAAACAACTACTATTCGATTCCTCTAAACTAGGTGGATCCAATGAGCTAACATTCATTGATTTGGATCATCCAATCACGAGATACTCATAATTGTATTATCGGCCAAAATTATAAATCAATAAATTCTACTTTAAATAAAGGAGTCCAGATTTTGAAATACAATCGCAAATATCTCGAGATGGGATGATTCAAAATCAATGAATGTTAGCTCATTGGATCCGCCTAGTTTCAAGAAATTGAATGGGAATTTTCTGACTTTTAACGATGTAGTACTGCCATAAGTTTATTAAAGTTTTTTATAATATACTAAATAAAGAAAAAATTACAAAGTAGGAAAAAAAACTAAACTATGACTATCTCCTGTAATCCTACTGCTAATAAAAGCTCAAACCCATTTAGATCAACTGATCACTGGAATTCCCCTCTGATCCAACCAAGAAATCCATATTTAATGACTGAGCTGTCAACAAGAAATTCAAATGAGATTGTCAATACAGCAATATAATTTCTAAATGCTTTTCGATTCTAACTTTTAAATAAAATTTAAAAACTAACAACCCTCCTAAGAAGGGAAATAGGTACAAATAGAAATTATTAAAAAGACTAATATGACTCTATAAAAACCTAAATGTCCAGTTAATTTCAGATATAATGACCACCCGACCAAAGAAAGTGCGTCCAAAGAAAGGTCTAAATAGAGGCTCATCATACTAACAGATTTATAAGTATAGAAAAAATATCACATGAAATCTACTACGAGAATCCTACGATGAATCAACAGATAGTAACCTATATCCTCTACCTAATTACCAAGAAGGAACAGATCTAGACAAAGCGGACTTACACTGAGTAAGCAAATGGCAATAACCACCTAGAGCTCCATTTAAAACTACGGTAAGCTGACAGGATACAAATCAAGTGGTAGTTACCATCACACCATATAGAAGACCTCATGAAGAAACAAAATAATGATTCACGCTAAATTTGCATGTGATCTTTGATGACAGAGAATCTGCAAAAAGGCAGAGGCCAATCAAAAGAAAGTATATTGTTTAGAAAGGGGAAAAATATCATCATATGAGATTTGTTTATCCAAAGTATGTCGAACATGATCATTGGTTGGAATACCCCTTAATACCCAATTTTTAGTAAGCAAAAAAGAAAACAGAAAAAATTTGTTCAAAAAGAGGTGAAGAAAAAAATATTTTAACAAAAAATAACACTGTTTAGACTATTTCAAAAAATTTATGTGGATAGGGGTGTGAGAAACAAAGAGAGGAATATTTTTGAAAGGTGAGGTTTTTTTGTTTGTTCGCAGGCTAAGCCATGGCCACTGTTGAACGGGCACTTTTTTTAAGTAAAAATTCTTGGAAAAAATCCAATGAGAAAGAGTGTGAGGAATCGAATGAGGAATCGAATGGTAGTTGTTTCATACGAATCAAAGCGATATTGATCAAGATCGTACATTTTTTGTTTTTTTTGTTTTTTCTATATATAAAAAATCATATGATATGACGTAATTTCGACCATTTCAACTTTTCATTTCGACTTTGACTTCCAAAGTCGAAACATTTCAACTTTTTGGGTTTTTATTTCGACTTCATGTATAGTTTTGTTGATAATCATCTTCTGCAACTAAGTAACCTAGAAAACGAGCTTTATCATGTAAAAGATGAACTCCTAGATATAGGTGAAGATGATACAAAGGATATAATCATACGTAATTTTATTCTAACTCTTTAATGAAGATCATACCATTAATGATGTTCTTGTTCAAATGCAGTTTGAAAATAATCCTGTTATATGATTGAATATAAATGGTAATGTTATTAACAAATTTAATACATCTGGCTATATTGCTCATATCTTTCTAACTCTATATCTGACTGGTGATACTGGATCATATCAAAAGTACTGCGTCATAAAGATCTGCAAAATGTTAACATTCTCAACTCCGTTAATATTCTCAACTTTATTAACATTATCAACATTTTTATATTTAACATAGTTTTATTATTTATAATAATTGGATTATATATAATATGTATTAATTATTTATTTTATAATAACGTTATATATAGATTTTCTAATAATTGTATTTTTGTATAAATAAGATAATGTA